AGCCTCTGTCCCTCTGTGCACACCTGGCCCTTGGCCCACTGTGCACACCGGCCCCTGTCCCTCTGTGCACACCGGCCTCTGTCCCTCTGTGCACACCGGGCCTCTGTCCCTCTGTGCACACCTGGCCCTTGGCCCACTGTGCACACCGGCCCCTGTCCCTCTGTGCACACCGGGCCCCTGTGCCTCTGTGCACACCGGGCCCCTGTCCCTCTGTGCACACCGGGCCCCTGTGCCTCCGTGCACGCCGGGCCCCTGTGCCTCTGTGCACACCGGGCCCCTGTCCCTCTGTGCACACCGGGCCCCTGTGCCTCCGTGCACGCCGGGCCCCTGTGCCTCCGTGCACGCCGGCCTCTGTGCCTCTGTGCACGCCGGGCCCCTGTGCCTCTGAGCACGCCGGGCCCCTGTGCCTCTGAGCACGCCGGGCCCCTGTGCCTCTGTGCACGCCGGGCCCCTGTCCCTCTGTGCACGCCGGGCCCCTGTCCCTCTGTGCACGCCGGGCCCCTGTGCCTCTGTGCACGCCGGCCTCTGTGCCTCTGTGCACGCCGGGCCCCTGTCCCTCTGTGCACGCCGGGCCCCTGTGCCTCTGTGCACGCCGGGCCCCTGTGCCTCTGTGCACGCCGGGCCCCTGTGCCTCTGTGCACGCCGGGCCCCTGTGCCTCTGTGCACGCCGGGCCCCTGTTCCTCTGTGCACGCTGGGCCTCTGTCCCTCTGTGCACGCCGGGCCTCTGTCCCTCTGTGCACGCCGGGCCCCTGTGCCTCTGTGCACGCCGGGCCCCTGTCCCTCTGTGCACGCCGGGCCCCTGTGCCTCTGTGCACGCCGGCCTCTGTGCCTCTGTGCACGCCGAGCCCCTGTCCCTCTGAGCACGCCGGGCCCCTGTGCCTCCGTGCACACCGGCCTCTGTCCCTCCGTGCACACCGGGCCCCTGTTCCTCTGTGCACACCGGGCCCCTGTCCCTCTGTGCACACCGGGCCCCTGTCCCTCTGTGCACACCGGGCCTCTGTCCCTCTGTGCACACCGGGCCCCTGTCCCTCTGTGCACACCGGCCCCTGTCCCTCTGTGCACGCCGGGCCTCTGTCCCTCTGTGCACGCCGGGCCTCTGTCCCTCTGTGCACGCCGGGCCCCTGTCCCTCTGTGCACGCCGGGCCCCTGTGCCTCTGTGCACGCCGGCCCCTGTGCCTCTGTGCACGCCGGGCCCCTGTCCCTCTGTGCACACCGGCCTCTGTCCCTCTGTGCACACCGGCCCCTGTCCCTCTGTGCACGCCGGCCCCTGTCCCTCTGTGCACGCCGGGCCCCTGTGCCTCTGTGCACGCCGGGCCCCTGTCCCTCTGTGCACGCCGGGCCCCTGTCCCTCTGTGCACACCGGGCCCCTGTCCCTCTGTGCACACCGGGCCCCTGTCCCTCTGTGCACACCGGCCCCTGTCCCTCTGTGCACGCCGGGCCCCTGTGCCTCTGTGCACGCCGGGCCCCTGTGCCTCTGTGCACACCGGGCCCCTGTCCCTCTGTGCACACCGGGCCCCTGTCCCTCTGTGCACACCGGGCCCCTATCCCTCTGTGCACGCCGGGCCCCTGTGCCTCTGTGCACGCCGGGCCCCTGTGCCTCTGTGCACACCGGCTTCTCTCCTGTTCTTGCAGGTCTGCCGTTCTAAAGCGCCTGCCGGGCCTGTCCACACCTGGTCCACACCTGGTGCTCACGGGAGTCCGGGCTGGCCCTCGGGAACAGGACTTGTCCTATAACAGCCCCCTTCCCACGAGGCCTCAGAGTCAAGCCCCCTCAGCGCAGGCCTCACCCTCCTCCATTTCCCAGTCTCCCGGTTCCCTGTCTCCGCCTTCCCCTTCCACAGTCCGTGTCTTCTAGTGCTCCCTCTGGCCACCAACCTTCTTCTCCGTCTCTCTCGCTCTCCCTCCCCTCCTCTTTGCCCCACCCCTGGCCCCAGTGTTTGGATCTTGGGACACCAATCCAGCTCATCAACCCCGACTGCAGCCTCATTCCAGCCATGCGCCTCCTAGCTCCCAGCCAAAGGGGTTTGGTCCCTGGAGACAGCAAACCCTGGTTTGACCCTGGCTCTGCCTCAACAGCTGTGTGACCTTGAGCAAGTCCGGTTACCTGTGTGGCCCTCAATTTACTCTAAAACAGATGAGGGTCACATCCTGCCCATCCCAAGGGTTCAAGAGAAATAAACAAGTCAGCTGTGGGATAACAAACATTCACAGGGTCCTGCTGGGCACCAGGCCTCCTGGGTACTCTGTACACAGTAACTAATTTCAACCCTTAGGATAGATAACGCTGCAAATTGTCGTTACTCTGATTTCACCATGAAAAAGATGACTACCAGAGAGGTTAAGCAACTTACTCAAGGTCACACAGGAAGTAGCAAAGCCAGGATTCGAACCCAGACAGTCTGACTTCCAAATCTGTGCCCTCAGCTGCTCAGTGATAAACATGTCTGACAACTCCTTGGGGACTCTAAGGTACTAGACAGTCACCTGCTGGCTGACTCCCGCCCACCATGGCCCGTCCCTCTCAGCCGCTCAGAGAGCCTCTCCCAGGCCTCCCACGCCCTCTAGCTTCTCCGCTTCCCGGCTCCTTGCTCTTCACGCTGGCAGGGAGACCCTCAGCACTGCTTGCATCTGGCAGCTTCTTCCCTCTCCACCCGCCCCCTCCCAAATCTCCAGTTTCCAGAGCTATGACTAACACAGAGCCACCAGCAGGCACCAGCCCTCCAGCCCACCTCCCACCTCCCACCTCCCACCTCCCACCTCCCACCTCGCTGCCCCAGCAGCCCGAGGGGACAGGCCCCTCACCCTCACCCCTGGGCAGGGTCCCGACCCACTCAGAGGAAGACTCCCATCCCTGCCTCTCCTCCACACTTCCCTCCCTCCCCCTCTCTCCAATTCCACCACAATTCCACCCTCGCCCCAATCCACCTTTCATTTCTCTGGGTTTTGGAGTCAGGAGAGTCTTGGCAGCAGGGGCCCTGGGTTCAAACCCGAACTCCTCACTTGCTGGCTGTGTGACCTTGGGCGAGCTAGGTGACCACTCTGGGCTTTGGTTTCCTCAGCTATAAAACGAGGGAGTCTCGCCGAAACCGGTTTGGCTCAGTGGATAGAGCGTCGGCCTGCGGACTGAAAGGTCCCGGGTTCGATTCCGGTCAAGGGCATGTACCTTGGTTGTGGGCACATCCCCAGTGGGGGGGGGTGTGTGTGTGCAAGAGGCAGCTTGTCGATGATTCTCTCTCATCGATGTTTCTAACTCTCTGACCCTCTCTCTTCCTCTCTGTAAGAAATCAATAAAACATATTAAAAACAAACAAACAAACAAAAAAAAAACTGAGGGAGTCTCTCGGTCTGCCTCCCTGTCCAGGAGGCGGGTGAGGGTATAAAAAAAGTATGGAAGTCACGACTTCCCGAGAGAAGGGAGGGTTAGAGCCCGATGGACCGGCCTGCCTGGCCGCCTTTTACTAGCTGCGTGACTTCGGGTAAGTCACTTAACCTCTCTGGGCCTCAGTTTCCTTATCTTTAAGACGGGCTAACTCTAGCTCCAGCCCCCTAGAGTCGCTGTGACAATCACGATGAGTTAATGTGTTTAAAAAACTCGGGACGCTGTCTGGCAGGTAAGTGTTGGTTATTTTCTATTACTGTTTTTTTCCTGATGCCTATTCGGTTAGTTTGATAAAGAAACAAACCTTTGCATTCCCTCCCTTCCCACTCGCCAACCCATCGCTCCCAGAGACAGCCAGCACTGCCTCAGAGCCCTTCCTCTCCTCTTAGCAACCTGGTTCCCACCCCAAACCAGGGGCTCTCCCCCCCCCCCCGCCCCCACAGCTCACGTTCAGACTCTGTTTCAAAGGCCACAAAAGCAGAGTCGCGTGTCAGCTTGGCAAACAGGAAACCCTCACTCCAGCCTGGTCCTCCCATTCACCTGCTTGGTGACCTTGGGCAAGTCCCTGCCCATCTCCGAGGGCTTCCCTGGCCTGTCAATGGAGCGGCCCCGCTGGGCTGCTGCTCTGGACCGACACCCCAGGCCGGCGCCCTCGGTGGTGTCAGCGCTGCCCCTGGAGCCCCAGTCGTTCTCCAAATCCCCAGCCTCCTCCCCCGAAGACACCATCCCATCAAGCCCCCACCCCAGCCCCTCCGCGCAGCCTGCACCTTAGACACCAGTCCCCAAGCACAACTCCCTGCCGGGCCAGCCCGGAGCCTGGCCTCCTCAGGCCTGCAGACGGGCCACGGCAGACGGGCCACGGCAGACGGGCCACGGCAGACGGGCCACGGCAGACGGGCCACGGCAGACGGGGCCCACGGGGCCTGCCCGGCTGTTGGGGGCAGCTCCCCCGCAGAGCACAGTCCCTGTCAGACAACCCAGTTCCACGGCCCTGTGCCTGGAACCTCCTCCCTCCTCCTCCGCATCCCCACCTCCAGCCTCTGGGTCACCCCATCTCAGGCCCCGGCCTCCGTGTCTGCTGAGGGGCCCCTTCCCGGGAGAGCAGCACACACGTGCCTGCGCGCACACATACACACACACACACACACACACACACACGCACGCACACACACACACGCACAGGCACACGCACACTCGCACTTCATTCAGTGCCAGGTGTTGGCATCTCAGTCCCAACCTGTGTCCTTCCCGGAGCCTCCCCGCCGGTCCTCTGGGCGCAGCCGGCCCGCGAACAGCCCCTCCTCCTAACCCCGAAAATCCGGCCGGGCTGACAGCACCCTCCGGCTCCTCCTGGCACCCACTCTCCCAGCCCCATCAGGACCAAGGCCTCCGGGATGTGGGGTGTCCGAGGCCCTGAGACCTCTCCGGCTTCCCACACCTCCCGGCCGCTGTCCCCAAAATGCAGGTTCACGGAGAGCATCGGCGCCTCCAGAAACCGGGGGGCCCCTGCCGCCAACGCCGGCCCCACAATTTGCCCCCACAGCCCGGCACCTGCCCTCTCCGCCCCCACCGCTCCCCAAATACTGGGGTCCCTCCCCCCTTCCCCACCCCCAGGCTCACACTCCGCAGCTCCTGCGTCCGGTCCTTCATCCTGCGACGGCGCCTCCTCCTCCTCGTCCTCCCGCCGCGGCTGCTCTGGCCTCGGGCTGGGCCGGGGGCAGGGTCCGGTCCGGTCCGGTCCGGGTCCGGGTCCGGGGTCCGGTCCGGGGGGAGCGGAGCCCGGGGCGGCCGGGCGGGGCGGGGGCGGCGGGGGCCGGGCCTGGCCGCGGGCTCTGCCGGCTGCGGTGGCGATGCGGCTGCGGCACCGGCTCGGATGGAGGGATGCGGGCGCCGAGGCGGGGGAGGGGGAGGGAGGTGAGGAGCGGGAGGGAGGGGGAGCGGGAGGGGGCGGGAGCAGGGGGCATGCGCAGCTCCGGGTCTGGGGGCGCCTGGGGGTTGTAGTCCGGGGAGGGGGCCAGGGCAGGGGAGCCCTGGAGGAGGGAGGGAGGGGGGAGCGGGGCGGGGACCGGGGATGCGGGAGGCTCGGGAGGTGCGCGAGGCGGGGATGCTGCGGGGCACCGGGCGGGGGTGGAGGCCGCGCGGAGGGGCGAGAGAGTGAATATCCGGGGAGAGGCGCTGGGGACAGGCTTTAGGTTTGTGTATGCGAGTGTGTGTGAGCCTGTGTACGACCACCTCCGTGTGTGCGTGTGCGTGTGTGTGTGCGTGTGCATGTGAGTGTGTGTGTATGTCTCTGCGGGAGGCTCTCGGGACACTAGGAACGGCAAGCCTGACCCTCTAGGCGGCTTCTGTGACTGAGGAGTCGCCCAGCCCAGCTGAGAAGGATGGGGGTTGCTTTTGTGCACAGCCTTTCCCACTCCCAGTGAGGCCTGGCAGCAGGGCGGCCCTGAGCTCCGCTTGTCTGCCTCCAGGGACAGGATGCTCACGCCCTCACCAGACCTCCTGGCCTGTCTTTAGACAGATCTGCCTTTTAAAACGGAAATTCATTCACACTGGGAGGGGGATTCTGACACCCCTGGCCACCCAGGTACCTGCATCCCTCTCCTCAGTGTCCACCTCTCCTATGTCCCTGTCTCAGCGTGACCTCACCCCCTACCCCTGTAATGGGGCTTTGGCCCCCAACAGGCCTCGAACCTGTTTTTGCCAAGTACCAGTGACCTCTTTGATAGCAAACCCATCGACTACCTGGCAGGCCTTATCCTCCATGATCTTTCAGGGAATATGACTCTAATGACTTCTCTCTTCTTTCTTTTTTATTTTATTTTATTGATTTTTTACAGAGAGGAAGAGAGAGGGATAGAGAGTTAGAAACATTGATGAGAGAGAATAATTGATCAGCTGCCTCTTGCACACCCTCTACTGAGGATGTGCCCACCACCAAGGCACATGCCCTTGACCGGAATCAAACCTAGGACCTTTTCAGTTCACATGCTCTATCCACTAAGCCAAACCGGTTTTGGCATCTTTATTTCTTAAAATATATTTTTATTGATTTCAGAGAGGAAAGGAGAGGGAGAGAGAGACAGAAACATCGATGAGAGAGAATCATAGGTTGGCTGCCTCCTGCACAACCCCTATTGGGGGGACCAAGCCCGCAACCCAGGCCTGTGCCCTTGACCTGAATCAAACCCTGGACCCTTCCGTCCGCAGGCCAATTCTCTACCCACTGAGCCAAACCAGCCAGGGCTCTTGTTTAAACCTCCTTCTCCTTGGTTCCCAGCCTGTCTCCTGCCTCTGCCCCCCGGCCCTTCTAACACACACACACACACACACGCACACGCATGCACACGCACACGCACGCACACACACTTCTGGATATTGTCTCTCAGCCTTCTACAGACGCCTCCATTCTTCCACAACCCCTCAACAGCGGGGTCCCCAGGCCCCGCCTCATCTTCACCTCTCACCTCCCAGGCTCAGCTGTGCCTGCAGGTCTACAATACTGACGTCTGTACACAAGCCAGGCCCTCTCCTCAGGGCAGCGCCTGTGGCGGACTGAGCTCCGGGCTGGCACCGAGGACAGAGACATCCCCGGCGCCAGTGAGCGGCCACGGTTCCGATGGGACCGCCGCTGCCGCCATGCTGGCCGCGCCTTCCCCAGCGCTTCTCGGACTGACCGCGTGGAGGGCCGTGCGGGGCTCTCGGCTGCGTCTCACTCGCATTCTTTGACAACGAAGCCCGTTCTTGTGAAACTACAATGTCACACTTCACCTCAGTGGCCAAATCCAGAGCCTCCTCCTATGTCCTCTCTCTCCATTGCAACCACCGAGGTCAGTGCGGGCCCTCATTGCTTTCCCCTGGGCCGAGGGAGAGCCTGCGGACTCTTTCCCTCACACCCATGTTTGCTCCCAGCGGCTAGCGTGACCGTCCCCAAACCAACGTGATCAGACCAACCCCTGCACCAACACCTCCGTGCCCCTGCCCCCTGACTGCTCTCAGTAGCTGCTCTGGCGTTTGAAATCACAGCACCATCGCCTCATCTCTCCTCCTACCTCCTTCCCTGTGCCTCCGACCCAAGGCCTCCACCACACAGAGATCCCAATACCAGAGCCTGTCACAGTGCCATCCCCTCCGCCTGGTATTGTTCTGTCCCTTCTCTGATGGCCCTTTCAAAGCCCAGTCCGAGCCCCTCCCGGCGTCAGGCAGACAGCGTGGTGAGGCGGGGGCGGCGCCTGCTGCCCCACTCCACCAGCCTGGGCCTGACTCTGCCTGCTTCTCCCCAGCAACCAGCATAAGGTCAGGCTCAAAGGAGATGTCTACTAACCCTCTGAGCGACTGAGTGAGTGAATGCCATGTGCCCTCACACCTTTACCCAGGCATGAAGACAAGGAAAACAGCTCCATGAAGACAGGCATCCTCTTGGTTTTGTTCATTGCTGGTTCTCCAGTGGCTCTGTAGCACCTGGCACATAGTAGATGCTCAATAAACACGTATTTGTTAATGTGTGAGTGAAAGGTGCCAATTCAAATCTGACCACCGTTCTAATGATGGACACAGACACGCCGTGTGACGACGATGGAAATCTCGTTGTCCAGTGGTTTTGAGCTAAGTGCATCCATGATCGCTTGGAATCCACCCAAGCACCCTACGAGATGGGATGCCGGGACACCCCCCCCCCCCCTGCCGTCCAGCCTCCTGCCTGCGTGGCCGTTCTGAAGCTCAGCATAGCCAAGCCGGCCTCTGCTCCGAGCCTCCCGGTTCCCCAGGGCTCAGATTTTCTGACCTGACTCCCCACTTTGGGGCACACCGCCATCCTCACGTTCCCCGACTCCAGTCCCTGCATTTTCCCATTTCCATGTGCTTCCTCGTGGTGTTCCTGATCCCGGAGCACCTGTCCTCTCATCTCCACACCCACCGCCTCCTCTTCTCTCAGAGCCCAGCTGCTGGGGTTTTCCTGGGCCTCCCGGAGCCGGAGGGAAAGCAGGCTGATAGACAGGCTGCCAGGCCGCCACCCCGGGAATTCTGATTCAGGAATCGGGGATGGACCCAGAAACCCCGGCTTCCACAACCACCTCTGGCCAGTCTTATTCTCAGTGGAGTCTGGGTTTACCCGGCGGCCAGGCTAAGGCTGGGCTGTGCTGGGTAAGAAACACCCCAAATCTCAGGGGCGCCACTCCGCAAAGCTCTGTTTCTGCAGAGCTTTGGGCTGCTTCCCAGAGCAGCTGCCCTTCAGAGCGTCTCAGGGCTGTGGGCGGGGACATGCACACACAGCTCAGCAGTGTGCTGGACCCCGAGAGCCCCCGCTTCCAGGACCGCACCTCATTCAGCTCTGCCTCCCCTGGTCCCTGGCACAGGCCCGACCACACCTGCCATGCTCAGGAGCAGAGAACGAAGACCCCTTTGACCTGTCCATTCATTAACTAGTGTTTAAGGAGACGACTCTTTGCACCAGGATTATGCTCGATGTTTGGGACACAGCAATGAGCAAAGGAACCTCAACCTGCTCCGTGGAGCCGGTCACCTCGCTTCTCTGAGCCCCGAGCTACAGCCTGTGAAACGGGCCACGTCGCTCACCCTGCGGGCGCCGTGGGAGAGCGATTACTGAGAAGATGAGCGTGGAAGCCATTTGCAACCTGAAAATCCCAATCGCAGCAGACGCCATGGGCCGTTACCGTGGTGTGTGCCCTCTGCTCCTCCAGCCTCACAGCCCGTTCCAGGCTTCATTCCTCAGGCCCCTGCAAGGCAGCGGCACAGCCCCCTGCTGTTCCCACTTCCTTTCAGTCATCATAAACCTGTAGCATGGATATAATATTAATAATAGGATAATAATCTCTTTTTTATTTTTTAGAGAGCAAGGAGAGAGAGAGAGAGAGAGAGAGAGAGAGAGAGAGAGACATAAATTTGTTGTTCCACTTATTTATGCATGCATTAGTTGTTTCTTATGTGCCCTGATCGGGAATCAAACCTGCAACCTCGGCGTATTAGACCATGCTCTCACCAACTGAGGCACCAGCAAGGGCAATAGCGAAGCCTTATATAGTACATAGCATGTACCAAGCTCTGTTTTAAATGTTTTATTTCTATAAATTCATTTAATATTCATAACAGCCACCTGAGGATACTACTATTATCTCCGTTTACAAACAAGGGAACCCCAGCACAAACAGGAGCTGGGATCCACTCCAGGCAGAAGCGTGGGCTGTTGACTCATTCTCCAGGTGAACTGGTTATCTGCCTCCCGGGAGGCTCATTCCAAAACAGTCAGCATCCGGCAGCAGAGACACGTGGCACTGGCTCTGTACATATATCAATATTTTGGGAGAACTGAGTCATTACAATATCGAGCCTCCTATCCATTTACATGGTATATCTACCCATTTGTTTAGGACCTCTTTAAAGTCTTTCTATAAAATTAAAATGTTTTCACCTAAAGGATATTAACATATCTTTAAAAGACTTACTTCGGTACTATATACTTTTGTAAATGATGTTTTTACATTTTCTAACAGTCTGTTGCTGTGATTTTTTAAAAGGCAATTTTATTTTAAGAGATTTCTCTTATTCCAACAAACTTGCCCCCATGTTCAGCCAGAGACCCGGGAGTGACGTAGGCCCCTCCCTCTCCCTCCCCAGCTCCTCCAGTCTGCAGCTGTGTCTGACAGACTCCCTCTCTTCAGCGGGAATTCCATCCACCTCCAGGCCTCAATGCAGGCCTCATTATTTTTGGCCT